GTTTCATACGGACAAATGCCGTAAATGCATCAACCGTTTAGCTTCCGTGTAAAGTTTCGTGCAAAGCAGAATCTATGCTCCTCTTTCTCTAACGCTTTGCACCACTCCCTCTCCCCCTTCGTGCGCTGATCGATGAAGGGCATTTTATCATGGATTTTTCAATATTTGATCAAAAAAGAGCTGTCGTTTTTGGATTGATGTTTTCTCGAATTCCAGTCAGTACGTTGAAGGAATCTTGCAAACTCACTCCTCCTGCTCCCAAGAAGACGAGTTTCTTATGCGAAAGCGGCTTCTTGGTAATTCGCGTTGTTGCCAAGTAATGCTGGCGACTACACCCTGCAGCTGTTCTAATAGGAAATATTTTTAGAACATGGTTCAAAAAATAGTACAGAACAACAATCAACGTACCTTGTATGTCATCGTTAAACATACAGTACTCGTTCTTGTATCGATCGAGGAGACGGTAAGCGTTTTGGTTTCCGAAATCTTCAAACTGGATTAGTGTGTCTCGGCCAAATCTGGAATGCAAAAGGAGATGCAAGATGGAATGCGTAGGGTTCTTGGAACGAAGGAAGATGAACTAGCAGTAAGCAGTACCGTTTGGTGGCAGCCTTCATAAAGTTGTCGATAAGTGTGTCGTACTCGGGGCCTCTCACTCGTTTTCGACGCAGTCCAGTGTAGAATGGGTCATTCAAAAGCGCCTTAATAGTGTGCTTTTCGGGAGTAAATAAATTATGGAGCGTCAATAATAGAACTGAATCTTAGAATCAAATAGAGGTGGTCAGTGGTGCCGGGATGAAGAAAAAACCTCAGAAGCGGGCCAGAATCCGAGAAATGGGGCCCGTATTGCTCATTAACTTCCACACTGATGCGACTCCCACCTCGACTCCCATGCCCTCTTCAACGCTAGCGTTCTCTCGCTCTCTCGCTCTCTCTGCTAAACGGCTAGAGGATCAAACGATGGGAGAATAGGCGTGCCACCATGGCCACTCGGGGATGGCCCAGATCGCCGGGGTAAATCCTCCGCTGCGAATTGCGTGTTGGTCGGCACCCTTAGAGAGTCCGCCTGTCTTTCCACTAACCATAAGTGAGTTTTCACTTCCTCGACCTTCGACCTTATAGTGGAACTCTCCTTTATCAGGGGCGGAGCAAGGAGACTAGTTAAACTTTCCAAAATATTAGTCAAACATTCGTAGTGGCGTTTGAATGCGATGTGGCCTATACAATGACTTGCGGGGGCCAGCCGATGTACAAGTCAGTGTTTTTATCCTCCCAGACAAGTCTGGTACCAATTAACCGACCCCGGAGGGATGGAAGGCTTGGTTGGCCCGGGCGACTCACGACCCAGGATTTGATCCCCGGACCGCTCGCGTGGTAAGCGTGCCACTTGCCACTACACCACTTCCGCCCTTCCAAAAGAAGGTACCCAAACTGAAGAAGCACTGAATTACCGCCCTATCCAAAAAATAGCGCTTTTGGCATTTCTTTCTGGGAAACTCCCGTGTTCTGTTTTTGGCAATACATTTTTGTAGCCTCAAAGAGTACGAACATTCACACATTTCCTGTTTTCCGTGTTCTCCTGAATGTCTTCTGATTATCATATTTGTCCATGGAATGCTATTTGCTGATAGTCCGCGTAGCAACCCGGGTCACGATTTGTGCGTGCCTGTGCCCTGCGCGCCCGTTCACCCTCATAGACGACCCAATCGGTCATGAATGAACCTTACGAACTTGCTCCTTACCTGATTGTCCGTACCAACATCGATAAGAACTGGAAGACACCACTCTGGATAAAGGCCGGCCAATGCAACATAAAGAGCCAGCTTTCCGACGGGTATACCAATACCGTACGCTCCAAGATCTCCCAGTCCCAGAATTCGCTCGCCGTCCGTCACCACAATTGCCTGAATTAAAATGTCTTCTTAGCTGGTCTTCAAGCGATCTTCATCCCTTGCAACTCACTTGAACATGTGTCAACGGCCAGTTGGAGAGGATTTGA